CTGTTGTGAAGAGGCTTGGAGGAGGGTTGCAAAGCACTGCCTTCCATGTGAGAGTTAGACTCAAAACAGGTCCGCTGTATCTACACTTACATGGCAACATCCAGACTGCCAGCACTGGAAGAAACAGACATAATTGGGCTTTTAGAAAGACACACGAAGGCGGAGGTCGAGCCTGCAACAGGATTAGGCCCAAAGCCCCCTTTCCCTCCCTGAAGAACATCTGCAGATGCCATTGAACTTGGGAGACTCCGTAGCAAATTCCACGCATACGGGGACCGCACGAGAGCTGCACTTGCATCTTTGCATTGAACACACAGGGTTTTGTTTTATTTTTTAAGTACATGGAAATACTTGAATCAGAAAAGCGTAAGCAAATGCCAGCTTCAGAAGAAAGGGAAGGGCTCCGATTCCTCCCTTCTTCCCTGCTGAAATCCTGAAATGTATCACCGTTACCTTTTTCTACTTTGAAAGAAAGGCTTTATAGTTAAAATGCAACTCCCCCGTCTCTCTCTCTCTCTCTCTCTCTCTCTGTGTTGTCCTCTTAAGTCGGAACTTACAGCAACTCTAGTAGGGCTTTAAGGTACCGTAAATAAGATATTTAAGGATCAGTTTTATCAGTTTTAAACCCCCCCCCACCAGTCAGTTTCCACGGCTTGTGTGGGGATTCAAACCCAGGCCTCCTTATTTCCAAGTCCATTGCTCTATCCACTTCACCACACTGTCCTGAAAGGCCCTTTGAATGGCTCTGAAAAACAGCCCCTCTCCAAATGATAACTCCCCTATAAATGTACACTGGGAATTGGGGAAGTTTTAAAGGGTACAAAAACTTCTAACCAAATCTCACTAGACCAGTTTGGGGCTATTACCCAAGTCAAGAAATCTTATATGAAATTCCTAAGTTGTAGGAACTTTGCAGGGAAACCTTACAGAGGTCTTGTTCAGAAGGGCACTTGAGGAAATTCACGTCCAGGGATGTCGGGAGTGTGTAACAGAACAAAATCAATGTTGTGACTGAATCCGAAGAAGACCAAAAATGAGGCTTGTAAAGGAATTGTGTAAGTTTAGTAGTGAGGACAGTGAAAGAATCAAAATTGTTCCAAGATTTTTTTCTACCTGAATTCAGCCATTAACCTGAATGAAGACGGCCACCAAGAAATTAAAAGGATTTCGATAATCTGAGAGGGTCCAAGAACGTTTCTTAAGGGTGAAGGAGGGGCTGCTGGAAACCACGGCCAAGATCATCCATACTGTGGGATTCTCAGCTAAGATGCATGCATGCGAAAGCAGAATCGTGGGAGAAAACTTACAGGAAAGAAACTGATTTATTTTAAACGTGGTGTTAGGAGAGCTTCGGGAATGACAGGGAAGTGGGCTCCAGATCAAATGAAGCCTGAACTCTTCCGAGAAGCCATTATGACTAAACTGAGTCTCTTGTACTTTGTCACATCAGGTTCATCGGGAAAGGCAATAATGCTAGAAGAACCGCGAGCGGGAAAAGAGGAAGGGTAAATGTGAGATGGATGGACGCAATAAGGAAGCCATGGCCTTCAGCATGCCAGACCTGAGCTGTTGGCGACAGGATCTCTTGAAGATCACTAGGTCATAGGGTCACCGGAAATCAGAAGCGACTTGACAGCCCGTAACACACAAACATGTAGGTCTGAGATTATTTGGAGTCCCTTGCTACCAGCATTCCTATCTATCCAAAACGTTAAGTTCTCCTGTGTTCCCTGGGACTTCGTCTGCAAGGACATGTGCATAGGATTATGTATAGGATGATGGCCTAAAGGTGGGTTTCAATCGTGCAACCGCACAGGGAAGAAAACAAACCAGAGAGGAAGCAGGAACACAATAAGCAAGCTGTAAAAAGAATGTTTTGCTGCAGGAGCCACCGGGCAAAACTGCACTGCTCAGAAAAGTTTAATTTTTTAAAAACTACTGTTCCCTGTGTTCTTAAGATTTCCAGTAGCCATGCTGGCTGGAGTCTTCTGTGATGTTT